TGGAAGTTGTGGATGCTGTAAGGGCTGGTAAAGATGTTGGAAGTTGTGGGTGCTGTAAGGGCTGGTAAAGATGTTGGAAGTTGTGGATGCTGTAAGGGCTGGTAAAGATGTTGGAAGTTGTGGGTGCTGTAAGGGCTGGTAAAGATGTTCAAACACTCTCTCACTTCTCATATAAACATCTATCAAATTCAGTATGTTTAATGAATTGTAAATACGTTTACATTACAAACTTATTTTTATTACGATGTTCAACATATCTTTAAACTAAAATTAGCATTTTTAAAATTATAATAAGTAATTAAAAACAACGTTTTATATTTACACAATTAAAACTTTATTGAAGCCGTAAATGCTGTTAGAATAGAATGTCATAAAATTATTAAAAATTCAAACCTAATTATAATAAACGAAATGTTGATTATAAAATCAATAAAAGAAAAGAGTAATATAATCGTTTGTAAAGCAGATAAAGGGGGACAAACCGTAATACTTAACAAAAGTGATTATGACAAGGGGGTAGAAGACATATTAAAAGCAAGTACATATGAAAAGCTTAAGAATAACCCAATAAACAAATATCGTAAAAACTAGTGTTAAGAATAGCCTAATTTTAACTCCTGAAGAGAAATAATGTTTAGTATCAAGTAGATTTATTGCACCAAGGTTTTATGTAGTACCAAAAATACATAAAAACAATAACAGTTTTAGGCCCATAGTATCAAATATAGGTTCATCATCTTACGAAATAGCAAAATTTATAACACGTAAGTATTCTTTTTTTGAGAAATAAGAACAAATATACAGTCAAAAATTTTATAGAATTTGTAGAAAAGATTAAAACATAAAATTAGAAAAGGAAGCCTTACTGTTATCATTTGATGTAATATTGTTGTTTATTAAAACGCCACTAGATGACGTGATTAGATGTTTTAAGAATAAATTAATAGAAAACAGAGTACCAAGAGTCGAAATTATGGATATATTGAAATTAACAAGAGTGTGAGTGGATAATCCATTTTTCCGAGTTAATCAAAATTATTATAAACAGAAAGAGGGTTTAGCTGTTGTTATGTGACCTTTATATGGATAGTTTTTAAAATGAAGCTTTAAATAATACTAAATTTAAGCCAGAAGTTTGTATAAGATATGTA